ACATTTAGTGGCACCAGATTGCTCAGTTTCCATTTCAATTACAAACTATTCCAAGACAGTGGAGCTGTGCATCTAAATGCTATCTTCCCTAAGACAGTCCTAGCAGTTGGCACATTTAATAAAACCACAGCATGCGATCTCAGGCAGTAGCCACTTACAATTCGCCGTGAGATCAGGGAGCAGATGTAGGATGGAAGTTTCCCTAACATGGCTTTGTATATAAAAATGTACCAGTGACTGAGCCTCCGTACAGTTAGCGAAGGCAAACCAGCCCTTGCATACAGGGTACAGTGATGGGTTAATGCTTTACAGTTTGTCACAAATCTCAGTGCACTGTGATACGCAGCATCTAACTTGACCAGGCAATTGGCAGGTGCATTCATATAAATCAATTCACCATAGTCCAGTACAGGTAAAAAGGTCACAGTGACTAGCCTTTTCCTGGCCTCAAGCGAGAAACAGGACTTGTTCCTGTAGAAGAAACCTAGCCTAACCCTCACATAACGGTATCGTCCACATAAAAATGTAAGGTTGCTCCATCGACATTTTCACCTAAACTATTGATGTAGATGGAGAATAAAAGTGGACCTAAAACAGAACCTTGAGGAACACCATTAGTAATGTTTAACCACTCAGAAGACAGCCCATCAAAATGAACACATTGGGACCTTTCAGAGAGGTAGTTCACAAACCACCCCACTGCATGGCTGGATATGCCAATACTGACCAGCCTCTGCTTCAAAATGTGATGATCGACGGTATCAAACGCTTTGGACAGGTCAATAAATAGAGCTGCACAATTCTGCTTATTATCTAAAATACTCGCCACATCATTCACCACTTTCATTGTGGCAGTGATGGTGCTATGTTGCTTTCTGAAGCTATGTTGCTTTCTGTGGTGTTCACAGAAGCAGAGTTAGTGACAGAATCAAACAGAGAGCCACAGGACACAAAATGCTCATTAAAACAATTTAACATGGTGGCCCTGTCCGATATAGAGCCAGATGCTGTGGTAATGCACGGAGGTAGCTCATTACGGATATCACGGGTGGATATCGATTTTATGGCTTTCCAAAATTGTTCAGGATTATTCAGGTTCTTTGTGGTAACTGACAGATAATACTTAGACTTAGCACTTTTTATTTGTGATGTGAAGCTATTTCTTAGCTGCCTAAAGCGTAGCCATTCTACCTCTGAGCCTGATTTCCTAGCCTTTGCCCAGGCCTTGTTTCTCTCATGTAGGAGACTAGATAAGTCAGCAGAAAACCAAGGGTTGTCTCGTCCCTTCACTCTAAATTTACGCAGGGGTGCATGTCTATCTATAATTTCCATAAAACCAAGATAAAAATAAGACCATGCCGTTCCTACATCAGCACACAGATCGATTTTACCCCAATCAAAATCAAACAGATCATGTACAAAACCCTGCTCCACAAAATGTTTTTTGTCTCTTACTGATAATGCGAGGTTTAACCTTTTGGACTTTTGTGTCCCTAATTGTGGCTACAACACAGTGATCACTCAGATCATTTGCAAATACTCCCACAGATGAGTATTTATGGGGAACATTAGTTAAAATGAGATCAATTAAGGAGGATTTATTTGGGGACTTAATGTTAGGGCGAGTAGGACTGTCTATAATCTGAGTAACATTCAGAGATACAAAGGTTTTTAAAATCCTCTGACACAGAAGTTAACCTCTTAAGCCCTGAGCCTGTTTTTCAGGTCTCAGGCTCGAAAATGACATTCCCAGAACAAATGACCATATCTTCCCTTCTAAAAGGGTTAAATTAATAATCTTTATTCTCAAAGTAATGATAAACCTGTGAGTTGGATGTAGAAAAGTCAGAATCAATATAGATGTTTTTTATTTTAAAGAAAATGCAGATTTTACATAGTAAAAAACTGTAAATTATAGTGTCCGTCCGACTAAAAGCTTTAGGAATCCAAAGTACAACATATAATAAGTACCCTGTATCAAGATTGATGCAAAACAAGTGAAATTTGTGAAAAAACCCACTTCTGGGGTCATTTGGGTGGATTTGACCTATCTTGACCTATTTTGATGAATGAAATCTCTTTATAACCGCTAGAGCCAATGGAATCGAGGGAAAGTTCTATACACACCAAAACGTTAACCTGTTCCACTCTGAGCCTGTTTTTCAGGTCTCAGGCTCGAAAATGACATTCCCAGAACAAATGACCATATCTTCCCTTCTAAAAGGGTTAAATTAATAATCTTTTCTCAAAGTAATGATAAACCTGTGAGTTGGATGTAGAAGTGTCAGAATCAATATAAATGTTTTTTATTTTAAAGAAAATTCAGATTTTACATAGTAAAAAACTGTAAATTATAGTGTCCGTCCAAAAATTTTTTTTTACAGATAGTGAAAACTACCCTTGGATGATGGGTTAGTAGACTAAAAGCTTTAGGAATCCAAAGTACAACATATAATAAGTACCCTGTATCAAGATTGATGCAAAACAAGTGAAATTTGACCTTTTTAGAGAGATTTAGCCAAAAACTGGGCCATCTGGGGTCATTTGGGTGGATTTGACCTATCTCTGGCCCCCCTTGCTCGATCTGGTTGGTTGACATACCCTTGTGACCGTTAGAGCCAATAGAATCGAAGGAGGATACTCACATAGACACACATTGTAAAGAAAAAATGTTGCCGCTTCGCGTGTGGAAAGCGAAACTAAACTGGAGGAATGTCTCCTTCTGGAGTTTGGAAACTAAAACGCAGTTGTATTGCTTATGGATTATCAGAAATAATTTCAAAGAAGGCACAGACACATAGGATGAACCTATGGATTAACTGCAGCATCGTTTTTTTATCGTTTTAATGCCATTGAAGACCACTTTTGACCAAGGTGAGCCATATTTACATGTTTAGCTTCTTGGCTCCACATGTGATGATGTACGCTTTCGTTGATAGCGTCGCGAATGTTTATCACTGAGTGTTGAGGTGGGCACCGTTAGATTCAGTGTTTCCAGGACACCAAAAAATAGTGTTTGGTTGTGCATCTAGGATAAGTAATAAGGGAGTTCTGAGTGAGTTTATGTGCCTTTGTCGGTCCCGTTTTTTCGATCGAGGCTAATTCAGAGGCTGAGTGCTAGCATTGTGGGTTTTTTTTGAAAAAAAAAATTAAAAAGATCAGTTAGCTGAGTTTCTTCCCGTTACATGGATATAACACATTCATAGTTTTATTCAATATTAAGATTCCTTAGACGTTGTTTCCTGCAAATGACGCGTTTATCCGCCCGGTACCGGGGGGAAGGCGTGAAACAGGTTAACAAATAAGGAGTGAGAGTGACGCGTAACCAAAACCGGAAGCTGCATGGTGGCTACCATTAGCAGCTAACTTTTCCGCTCCGATTTTTACATAAAAATGGAATTATGGATTATAAATAATTTTTTCAAAGGCACAGGTACATTATCAACCTATGGATCAACAGTTGTAGCATTTTTTTCTTTTCGTTTTAATGCCATTGAACACGTCTTTTGACATAATTGACAGCTACGGTGAGACGATCTGCTGTAAAAGCTCCGTAAAGGTACGTGTTGTGATGTCTGTGTTTGCTTCCCCTGTCGCAAGTTCGGATCGCTCAGTGATGATACTATACCTAAATAATCTGTGGAGTCTCAGCTTTAATTGGATATATTGTATGTGCAGCTACGATAAGTAATAAGGGTATCTTTATCTTGAATTGTGTGCCAAAGTCAGTTTGCATTTTTTCGCTCAGGGGTCATTTAGACGCTTCTTACGAGACTTGTGTTTTGTTTTGGTAAAAATGTTTTTCAGGTCTCAGGCTCGAAAATGACATTCCCAGAACAAATGACAATAACTTCCCTTCTAAAAGGCGTAAATTAATAATCTTTTTCCTCAAAGCAATGATAAACCTGTGAGTTGGATGTAGAAAAGTCAGAATCAATATAGATTTTTTTTATTTTAAAGTAAATTCAGATTGAACATAGTAAAAAAAAAAAAAAATGATAGTGTCCGTCCAAAAATAAACCATTACTTATAGTGAAAACCACCCTTGAATGATGGGATAGTAGACTAAAAGCTTTAGGAATCCAAACTATAACATATAATAAGTACCCTGTATCAAGATTGATGCAAAACAAGTGACATTTTACCTTTTTAGAGAGGTTTAGCAAAAATAAAAACACCTCTGGGGTCATTTGGGTGGAAATGGGTGTATTTGCCGTTTCTCTGGAACCCATTGGTCGATTTTGATGATTGACATCTCTTTTGAACCCTTAGAGCCAATAGAATCGAAGGTGAATTTCCACATACACACACACGTTACCATTGAGAAGTGGGGGCTATGCGCACGCAGTTTGCCCAAAGCGAAACCTATCTTACGGTCTGAAATCTGAACACTGAAAACTAGTTTTATTGCTGATGGATTATCAGAAATCATTTCAAAGTGACACATTGGATTAACCTTCAGCAGCGTTTTTATCGTTTTAATGCCATTGAAGACACCTTTTTGATCAGAAAACAACAAAGGTAAGACATATTGCCGTGTTGGCTACCTAATGCTACGTGGTGTGATGTCTTTGTTAGCTTCTCATGTCGCGAGTTCGGATCGGTCAGTAATGATACCAATACCTCAAATCTGTGCAATCTCAGTTTGCTAATCGATATCTTGTTTGTGCAGATACGATAAGTAATAAGGGTATTTTAACGTGAGTTCTATCCTAAGTGTGTTAGCATTTGTTCGCTCAGGGCTAATTCAGAGCCTTTGTTATTATCCTTATGTTTCGTTTTGCTAAAAATGGTTAATATTAATTGATAGCTGAGTTTCTTCCCGTTAAGTGGCTATGACACATTAATAGGTTTTTAAATGTTAAGAAGCCCTCAGACGCTGTTTCTTGCAGATGTTGCGATTTTTCCCCCGCCCGCGAATTGGGCTTAACGGGTTAAAAACAAAGTGACACCCATGTTTGCCAGATATTAAGAAATCTGTAATTCTGTTATTTTCATACCTGGATTGAGGCTGGGAATGGTGATGGTGGATGGAGTTGAGCTGCCCTTTATATTCCTAGCTGTAACTGTGACGATATATTCTTTAGTACTGTTCAGACTGAGGGAAAAACTTTGTTTGTTGAAAGCCAAGTTGGTTATATGGTGTTGTTGTTTCTCTGTGGTCTTTCTCCAGATCACTTCATAGCCTTTGATGAGTCCATGTCTTTTGGCCTGTGTCATCCGGAGAGAGATAACATTAGGACATCAGCTTACCTGCTGAAACATTAATAGAAAAATGTATAAAATGAGTTTGCAGCTATGGAACAGTCCTCTTGGCTCCACATTGGTACTCTGGAATGTTTCATACTACCTGCGGTCAACATCTCAAAACTACAGTGTAGTTCAAGAAATGAAAATCTTAAATCCCAGGCTCCTCCAACAATGCAACATAAATATATATAAGACAGCAAACAATAAATCAAATCAAAAACAATAAATGTGGGCCAATTTGCCAAATAGAGGGCCAGGGAGAGCTTTATATCCTTGTCGGACAGGAGAATAAACATGGTCCAGTGCGTAAAAGTTAAAAACAAACACCAAAATAAAACCATAAAAATATAATGTTGGAGAGGAGCTCGAGACACAGCAGCCATCCACGGAGCCGCATTTTTCAAATCAATCCGTACTAAAGGATTCAATACAACATGCATTTCCTCCTTAAGTGGTGAAACCAACGTGGAAAAAGTGGGGGTATCCGACATAGGTAGAGGAAACAGAATTAAAGACATCCCACTCCCTTGCACAATCTTCATCAATCTTATCCCTTCAATCTTCATCCGTGCTTTTGGGTCCACACACTTTGTACTTCCGCAACATACTGGACTTCATGCAGTTTGTCTGTGCATTACATAACTGTAAAACTTATCATAACTGTGCACATCTTATACTTATTTGATAACTACTATATCCCTTGGTTACTTGAACACGCTACAATATTATTAACCAGTGTCCTACCTTATTAAAATATTGATATACGAAATATTTGTATTGGAACAGTTTTCGACGTAGTAATGCTGTAACATATTTCAGCCCCTTCCATATGAGTGTGTGTGTAACACAAACTAATTAATTAATTAACTAGTTTAGGTAGTCTGAGAGGTAATTAAAATAGCTACGTGTGATGTTCTAACCTGAAGTGTGTTTTGCTCTGCTCGCCGCTGCAGGGGATCATGCAGAGCTGCGTGTCGACTCGTCAGCAGCAGCAGATCTCTCTCTCTCGTCAGATTAGACTTTACTCGCGTTTATCTCCATGTCGATCAGATCTAGCTAGTTCTAGCTAATGATATGACTACCTGCTTATTAAAAGACACCTAAACAATAAGCGTCGCTATGCAACCGGGTGAGGCCACAAAGTATAGCGCAGCATTATGCATTTGTTTACATGCCCACCGGAACCCCGAGGCATTGCCAACAGATCAACGCACAATCAACCCATACAGGACATCTCTTTCTCCACATTAAGTGTTAGACATTAGAATTGACTCTTCTTGTCTGTCACATACTCTTTTGTCTGTCACATAAGTGGCGCAACTGATGCGGTATTGCGCTAAGGGAAAATTATTTTGACCGGACATTTTGACCGGAGAGATTTAGATTTGCCGGTCTTCAGCATATTTTACCGGTCATAGTCCGGTAATTACCGGCTAACGGGAACTCTGGGGTACACAAATACAGTATATCAACTAATAAATAGCAAATAATGACAAAGTGATGCCTTCAAATCTGACTTACTTTCCAGATAATTTTTATTTGGTTGCCCTCCATCTGCATCCACACATCAAGAGCATCTGGAACTGTGGGACAAATATACAATCAGTGACCAGAAAATGGAAACATTGTCTGTTAAATTGCCATTATAGGATAACATTTTAAACTGTTTTCCTTTTTAAGTTTCCTACCATCACCATCGGTTTGAAAGAGGACTTTCTTGCTCCAGTCACTCCATTTCCAGAAATATTGTGCTGTTCCACATCTTACAGTCACATTATACGTCCAATTTGGTATCAAGTCATTCAAAACTGTACGATTAAGACCAACTCCAAAGTTTTCAATCTGGGAACACAATATTGACAATAATGAAGACGGTAGTGTAGTTCAGAAAAGGATTTTACTTTATTTTAAAGCTAATAAAGCTGTTGGATAACTAGGTGGTTAGAGGTGTTGGTGTCCGCTCCCAAGTAAGTTTGACTTCTGAGCCCTGCTGAACGTCTCAGGCAATGTCCTCTCCTCTATCCCCCCTTCAAATCGGCACCTCCAATAAAGACACTCTCTTGCCTAAAAATGTATTTAAGAAATGAAAATGCTAATGTATCAGCATCCTTCTTTTATCAACTTACAATGGTAATTTCACCACAGCTCATGTGTACTTGGCAAGTAATATTGAGAATGTTGTACTGTTGCACTGTCCAATCCCACTGCAGAATGACACTTCTGGCATTCACAGTCAAAGCTTTCACTCCATTAGGAGCAAACATATGCACTGAAACAAAAGACAAAGAACTTCAGCTGAATTCAGCAATCTAATTTCACAAATCAATGCATGTTTTAATAAAGGCATACCTCTCTTGGATAGGTCTGCAGCGTCTGAAAGCTCAGCCTTCCCAAACTCATTTTGTGCTGTCAATCTCCAGTTTCTTTCACCAACACCTACTTTCTCCACCTTTTGAGAGCATCTGCCCTCAGACGTCATTGGGCATGGCCTGAAAGATGAAAGACAGTTTACCTCACTTTCCTTATATATCCTTTGTGTGGTGTTCATATTTTTGTTACTCAGCCAGTGTTCGTGGGTCTGGTGGACCCGCTGTCTTTTTTGGCTTCAATTCAACACAATCAAACTATTTTATGTTAAAATACTCAATAGATGTTTACTACATCATATATCATATATATGGTTAATATTTGCCCTTTTACATTTGTTAGATCACATTAATGAATGAAAGTGCTACTCGTATTTTTGCCTGCTGACCGGCTGGTCCTGTGGCTCGTCTTTTTTTTGTAACTAGCTGATGCTCAATCTCATCCTCTTCTTCAAAGTCACTGTCAGACTTAGAATTCTCAGAAATGTGATCCTCACATTCTGAAACATCTTCCTGTTCCTCTACATCAGGGTTTTTCAAAGTGTGGGAAGGTGAGCCTCCCCTCAGAGAACATAAGAACAGCCGCGACCCCCTCGCAATTATTATTGCTATTAATATTATTATTAGGGATGTCCCGATCACCTTTTTTTGCTCGTGATCCGATCATTTGATTTTGACAATCTGCCGATACCGATTTTTCCCGATCCAATCTTTATGCAATGCATTAAGAGAAAAAAAAGGAGAAAAGCATTCAAGTTGTCACTTAAACCCCACGTTCTCCACCACAGATAACGGCTGGTCATCCAACGCGATGAATTCAGCTATCTTGGCTGTTATTCTTTTGGCCTTTTCACTGTTCTGGGGCAGTTTCTCTTTCCTTTTAAAAGTCTCTGAAAGTGTCGGTTGTTTCAGTGCCGTTACCTAAGTGGCCGCTGTGTACTCGTTGTGTTGTTGTTGGTGTTTGTTTCTCAGGTGGCGTATTAGATTGGTCATGTTGAATGTAGCTCTGTTCTTTCCACCACGCGGAACCTCCGCCTTGCAAACATTGCATCTGGCTGTTACACTGCCTTCGCTTTCAATTTTATAATACTTCCAAACTCCTGACATTTTCTCTGTCCCGACTCCCGAGTCACCAGCTGAACGTAGCCTCTCGTTAGCTTACTGCTACTATTAGACACTGCGCCCTGCCCACTCTGTTGCCAGATTTGAGAGAAAGAAGCAACACATACATGATGTTGTGTAATTTTAAACCAAAACTAAGGCCTCAGGATGACTTTAAGACGTGAACATGGTCATTTTTGTTTTGTAACATTAAATAAAATAATACAAATATTTTATAAAAACTTTTTTTCCCGATCACGTGATCGGATCAGGACATCTCTAATTATTATTGTTGTTGTTGCTATAATGCAGGTGTATTCAATTGCATTTCAAAGAGGTCCAGTAAGAGAAAATGTAATTAAATGCTCTGTTTTCGCTGCCTACCTTTCTCTTTTTTGAGCACGCCATTTGAAATGACTCACTGCTGTTTCTCGTGAACTGTCAACTGGGGGGGAGCCTCGCTGTGTGGAAACGGGCCGCTGAACGGACCTCAGTCACCTGTCAGCGCAACTTAAATTATGCCGTTTAAAAACATTAAAAAATAAAGGGCGGTGCCGGCCGTCAGCGAACGAGCCGGTCGTCAACGGCCCGCTGACGACCCTGGGTGGAGGTGAAGGGAATGAGCACTTTTACAGCCTTTTTGGCGAGGTGGGGGAACTCGGTCTCCACAGACAGCCAAAAGTGTGCAAGTGACACTTTACTCGTCTTTTTCTCGTTTTTTTGTTCTCACGCTGCGCCTCCCCTGAAGCTCTCTGGCGCCCCCCCAGGGTGGCGCGCCTCACACTTTGAAAACCGCTGCTCTACATCATCATCAAATGGTTGGTTATACCATCGGGAGAACTTTGGGGTTCAACATCTTGCCCAAGACTACTAGCTCAACACATCTTAATCATAGATTGGACTGTCCATTATGATTCTGAAAACATGGTGTGCTTCACTAATTCAAGTAGAACACTTTTTGCTAGTAGTTTAAATATCAAATCTTTATTCTCTAATTTGATTTAATACTCTTTTGTGTGGTTCTCTTACATTTTAAAGAGGCTCTTTTACGGGTTTTTTCAGGGTTTTCCCTTTCCTTGAGTGTGTAAATGGTCTGCAAAGGCTAAAATCCCTGTACACTCTACTTACATTGCCTCGTGCTCCAACACATTGTACGTGATAGGCTAAGGGGTGGGACATCTCTAAGCAGTTGACTAATCTCAACAGAGATGGCCAGCTAACCAATCAGAACAGACTGGGCTCTGGTTTCAGACAGAGGGTGAAAAGAGGTGCTGCAGCACAGGCAGTATGAGACAAATAAAGAGCTTTTTGAACAGTAAAGCATGAAGACATGTCCTAGTACACACCCAGCAGAAAGTACAAAAATGAACCTAAAATGAGCAGGATATGTCCTCTTTAATATACCTTCCCAGCAGCTGAGGATCTTTTGGCTTTTTAAAGGGCCAGCCTTTTCCTCCTCCTACTGTCCACTGACATTCAACTGATTCCAGATCTCGGGTTTCACACTGAAGGTCTCTGTAACGAGGTGGGTCTGAGTGGTGATGCCAAGGATAGAAACATTTATACGGTTAGCATTTATTACACAGATATTACACTACATTTCAGCACCAAGTCATACTTACAGCCAATATAAACACAGGCACCATTCTCCTTGTTTGTTTTTGTTTTACATATTACATTGGTACAGCTGTTTTCTGACACTTGATTCAGATAGACGGTCAGGGCATATGTCTGATAGCTGGTAGTGTTCACTGGTGCTCCATCATAGCCAGTCAGATACATTGTGCTGAAGGCTTCCCTTGAAGGCAGAATGCAGCAGAAAGTGACTGTACTGCCAACCTTGAACCATTCGTCCTTTGGAAAAACCTCTGGCCCTTCTGAGGTTTGCTTCCCTGCAAAAACATAATAATGTGAAATAAAGCATCTGAAGGACTGTTGCACTATGAAATGTGGAATAATAATAGCTTGAATATTTTTTTGATGATCGAGTATTAACCAGGAATTGTCTGCTCTTTCCAAGGGCTTGTCTGGGACCTGAGCCTGACTGAATGGGAAGCACACTCCAAGGCCAAAGAGGAAGTCCAGTTCCAGTAGTGGGTCGATTCTATCTGGTCAGATGTCACAGAAACTTCATCCTTAAAACCAAACTAGAAGTCAATCCATCAAAAATTGAAATGGAATTATATTGTCCAATATCACTCGTTTACATTTGTCTTGGTTATCTTTACAAGATATCTGGCGTACAACACAACATACAAGAACACATGTTTGTTTAGGTAAAATAACCCAGAAGCTGCATTGTTATGGAAGTCAGCAATGTTGGTGTGATAAAAATGATCTTACATAATGGACTTGTTGGCCTGTTCTGAGAACCACTAGTTGATAGATGAGCACATCCTGTACTGCAGAGCATGAAGGCTGGTCTTCCCATGATAACAGGAGCATCCGACCAGAGTGCTGAAGGGTCACATTCTGAGGGCCACAGTAAAGGAAACCTAAGGAAAATGATCATAGAACATTTAAAGAATCTTCCTCATCATGAGGAGCAAAGAGAAAAACCAAAGGCAGGACATCATCAGCTGCCCAGAAAAAGGACAGATATGAAGACAATTTATTGTGTTTGTTATTGTGTTCGTCAAACAAAATCTCTTGTGGAGCATCTGTAACCTCTGTATAAACAGAAAGTAAATGATTAACAATTTAAAAAAGTTCTAACTGTGTCCTTATATTTGACATAAATATTAGATATGAACCATTTATCGGTAGTAGTTCCTGAGGGGAAATTACATTTTCACTCTGGTGTTTTTTACATCACATCACACACATGCAACCAAGAGCACTCGGGGCTTTGGTGTCTTGCTCAAAAACACCTTGGCAGTGCCTTGAATGGATGAACTGGCCCCCCTCGAAATACCAGTCCACACTCTGTAGTAAGTCCGATTGGGACTTGAACCAAGGACCCTTCAGTTCCCAAGACAAGTCTCTACAGACTTAAACTATTGGCCAGTATTCTTGTAATGATACAGATTTAAACCTGCATCCACCACTAACATTTTCCCAGGATCCACCCACTATTAGAAATGAAAAACAATCTAAAACACAAAGCATTATGTTGCCACGATCTCAGTGTGAATGTGTGTGTGGGTCAGAGGTCGCGTTAACCGAATATTTTCCGTCTATGACGGATTTTTTTTAACAATGACGGAAAAATCTGAAAGCAGTCCGTCATTTTGACAGATTAGAACAAACTCGGAACTGCGCCAAAGCTTCCCCGGTGTTATGCCATGTTATACATGCCCGCCAAAAAGGAAATGATACCGTTTCAAAACCTAACTTTGCCGTACAAATCATTGAAATGTCTGCAAGTTTTTGCTTTGCGCTGTGCGCGCTCCCACGAGGTGCAGTGGGCATGCATAACACGGCGCTAACAGTTCCCCCCCCGACTGGTAATACTGGATTTTGACGTACATTTGACAGCGAAAAAGTCTAGCACAACCTCTGGTGTGGGTAAATGTTGTCATATAGAGCGAGTGAGTCGGGAGACTACGAATGTGCTATTTAAATGCAAGTCCATTTACGCAAGATGTAATAAGTTACTAGCTGACAGGAAGTTAATGGTGAAGTACTTCATATTAAAAATTGCTCTTAACAGCAGAAGCTGTTGGTCTGCATTAGCCGTATGCATAAAATGCAATATAAGGGTACATTTATTATCTGAAGAATTTCGACTTCTAAAGGTGTGAAGGTAGACGCAGCCATAGTTAATTATGTTGTTAAGCAGACAGGCTTTTAGCCATTCAAGTGTCATAGATGGATGGTAATGACGGTCCACCCATTAGACTGAAACATCTGGAAAACTATCAAATTCATATTATGTTCATATCGCATTCTTATAAACAGCTGTCATCCTTCTTCTCACTGATAGCAGAGACTCCAGTCTACATAGACCATAGACTAAATTCTATAAAAATGAAGTTTCTTTTCAAGCTCCTTGTCCATCCATAAAGATGCCCCTCACTATTATCAGCCCTGGTGGAACTTCTTTTTTCTCTTCCTCTTTTTTCCCTCTTTTTCTCTCTTTGTCTCTATGACTTTATCAGTAAGTCAGTTAATGACTTCATAAATCTTGTCTAGTAGCAAGGCAGGTAAGCAAAGTTGGCAACTATAATGCTTATAAGCAAATGCTAGTGTGTTAAAATCCAGATGAGAACATAAATTCTTCCCTGAATTCAGGAAGAAAAAGGCACATGCAGCCTCTTAACCTAGTGGACCATTAATAACCTTGAAAATATTTTGTCCACCTCACTGGCCCCCAGAGATGGTTTCCTGTCGACCCTCAGTTGTGTGTCTGTTTTCAAAGTTCGAGATGAGGTGATCCATCAGCACAGCTCACCAGCACTGCATGTTAGAGCCAATGGAGCAGTCTTCCCTATACTGTCTCTACCAGTGGCGAGCCGTCAGGGCCCTCTAGGCCCTCTCCGAGGGCCTAAGATATTCTAAAAAATAATATTTGAAAACATTTAAAAGAAAAACATTTGTTTTTAAATATTTTTTTAGTTATATTTTTCATTAGTTTTAATTGTATTTAAAATAACATTTCCAAATAAATAAATCCTTCGAATCTGCCTGTTCAGTTTCTGTTGGAATGCCGTCTCTGCGAGTTATGTGAAGACGGGAGAGCTTGTTGGTCCCTCTGTACATTCACAGAGGGCCCGCTATAGTAACTCAATGAGAGAGTAATGTCAAATGACAACACACTCTCACTCCCTAAGCGTCCAGGAGCGACGCTTGGTCAGGGTCCCGTGGCGTCCAGTTGTGACGCGCCGAGGCTCCTTCAGCTTCATAAACGGACGCAAAGAGCTTTCAACTGATTGCAATGTATTCCCATCGGCGGCGGTATTTGACGCTTAGGGAAGCACGGCATTCGTTGGTGTCGGAGGCTGTTAAAGGCAATGTGAGCGTCCATTCCCATTGGATAACGGAGAATTGTACACCCGGAAGTAAGTATTCCCCTTACTGTCGATTGATTTGACAGTGATATCTCCACTACTCATCAACTCAAAAACTTAATTAAACGACATTGATAGGTTTTAGTGTGTGTACAATGCTTTTGTCACGTTTTCCCCTTCAATTCTGAGAAACAGGTCGTTTTCTATGAGTTTTGGATGGCCGAAGACATTACATTACCCACAATCCTCTGTAGCAACCATAGACTGTATAACAAAATTAAATAATACATTATTCCGAGTGTGCTTGCTTTTCTCTTTGAAAGTCATCACATAACGGCATTGTAATACACGTTTCGGCTGCATTAAATATGACATATCTGCCGTAGTTAACTCTATTTATAGAGCTCTGATGACAAGACTTCTAGACAAACAGGAACTGCCGCCAAAACTGAAAACTTGACGTGGATCTTAAATATATAAGCAATTAAACAACATCTTACATTTCTTTTCACACAATACGTCTCCTTGCAGTATCAACACTAATTCGGCTGACCTTTATATTTGATCCAATTGGTAGATAGGCTGTATTTACGCCATAACGGTGCACAGCTGATAGAAAGGGACACCTACTGGTTAAAGCACGTTATTGCATTTTATAATTGTATTATTAGATATTAATAGGAGGATGTGCAAAACAGACAAACTAATAAGGCTTTATTTAAACATTAAAGAATACTTTAGGTTAAGGTCTTCTTTTGAATAAGAAAAAAGCTTTGGGGGTATAGAAGATGAATATGGAGGGATGAAATCCTCTTTGATGGTCACACATGCAGAGCACACAGCACACACAGTGACATTTGTATCTACAGATAAATATTAAGCCTGACAAAGTACTTAACGTCTAATATATTGCTTTCCTGTAATGTTAACTATGTTTAAGCACTTATTTTAACTGATATTATACATATGTATTATACTCTTATAAGATGTATGTAGATAGTATAAGAAATGTTTAGAATATGACAATGTAATGGTGGAGGTACACATATTGATAGATGTCTTGTAATGCACTGTTGAGGAACCTGTGACCCAAGTTTTTCATTCATTGCATAACTACACCGTAGTTGTGTATAATATATGTCAATAAACCTTAGAAAATCTTGAAATCTTGAAAGGGATGTGCAAAATAGTCATTATATACAGTCTTTAATTAACTATTAGTAGAGAATAACGACGAGTAAAGAATATACTTTATAGGGATCCTATTAATATCTAATAATACAATTATAAAATGCAATAAGGTGCTTTAACCAGTAGGTGTCCCTTTCTATCAGCTGTGCACCGTTATGGCGTAAATACAGCCTATCTACCAATTGGATCAAATACAAAAGTCAGCCGAATTAGTGTTGATACTGCAAGGAGACGTATTGTGTGAAAAGAAATGTAAGATGTTGTTTAATTGCTTATATATTTAAGATCCACGTCAAGTTTTCAGTTCCTGTTTGTCTAGAAGTCTTGTCATCAGGGCTCTATAAATAGTTAACTACGGCAGATATGTCATATTTAATGCAGCCGAAACGTATGTGATGACTTTCAAAGAGAAAAGCAAGCACACTCGGAATAATGTATTATTTAATTTTTGTATACAGTCTATGGTTGCTACAGAGGATTGTGGGTAATGTAATGTCTTCGGCCATCCAAAACTCATAGAAAACGACTTGTTTCTCAGAATTGAAGAGGAAAACGTGACAAAAGCATTGTACACACACTAAAACCTATCAATGTTGTGTAATTAACAAGGATAATCTGGTGTTTTTGAGTTGATGATTAGTGGAGATATCACTGTCAAATCAATCGACAGTAAGGGGAATACTTACTTCCGGGTGTACAATTCTCCGTTATCCAATGGGAATGGACGCTCACATTGCCTTTAACAGCCTCCGACACAAACGAATGCCGTGTTTCCCTAAGCGTCAAATACTGCCGCCGATGGGAATACATTGCAATCAGTTGAAAGCTCTTTGCGTCTGTTTATGAAGCTGAAGGAGCCTCGGCGCGTCACAACTGGACGCCACGGGACCCTGACCAAGCATCGCTCCTGGACGCTTAGGGAGTGAGAGTGTGTTGCAAATGACAGTACAATTGACCAATCATATCTTCCCTCTAAATGGGTGGGCTTTATTTTCGTGGACTTTATGACAAGTTCCGCCCGCTGTGAAGTTTATGCAAGTGTATAAAGTGGTGCAGTGACGCGTCCTAAAACCCGGAAGTAAGCTGCGCATGGGTTCCCTCGACACAAAAGCATTGGGATTTCTCCATAGGATTTTGGAAAATAGCTCGAAATAAGGTCTGGAAAACGAACCTGTTAGATAAATGCACGTTTTGTTCAGCCGGATAATATCTACATGTCTACCCTACTTTTATGATTTTCGAATCACAAATCTAATCGATAGATTTATGATCGATAGATTTATGATTAGCATAAGTTCGTTCATGATGGCTCATGTCAGTGATAGTGATGACATTGTTGCGAAATTATTAACCAAGTCATTTTCAAGATTGAGTTACAATGATAAACTGGAGTGGCAAAGGATCAGCTGCATGACCCTGCCATCAAGTGCTTCATCCAAAAGGACAGGAGGATGGACTTTGTGTTTAAGTGATTTGATCATCAAAGGTAGGCCCAAATCATTTTCAATAGGCGCGTTCACACCAAGTACTTTTCCCACAATAGCTCATGAGAACTTTAGTTCATGAGAGCTCTTTTAGTTCTGATGAACTAAAGCAGATCGCGTTCACACCAAAATGAGTTCCTGGGGGTGGATTAGGCAAATGAGCCGCTGACGTCACTTCTTCTTCTTCTGCTTTGGGTTTACTGGCAGGCCGCAAACAATTTCACGGCGAGTACAGTAGGTGGCGGTATGCACCTTAAAGTTGCAATTCGCCAAAAAACCGAGAGAAGAAGAAGAAAAAAAACTTCCGCTTCCGCTGTATGCTTCTGTTTACCTTCCGACCTCAGACACGGTATGGAGTTGACGTTTTGGTGCTCGTGTTATACAGCTTCGTAACTGAGTTATTTAAGCCAATAACTCAGCCACAAATACAAATACAGATCGACCATTCAAATGCAATAGAAATGCTGAGTCGGAGGCGAAGGCGGTTAAGAAGCCTTAACAAAAGGATTGGACGACGAAAAGCACACGCTATGGACATGTTTCACCGTAGGACAGCTGAGGATGATGACCGTTATCACGCCCAAAGAACAGCAATCACATTAATACTATCTAATGTAGGATTTATGGAGTTATGTAGGGCTAATTTGTGTCTTTGTATGTGTTCCAGATATGCGAATACTACGGAACGCGTCGTGTCGTCTCTCTGGGTGAACAATAGAACATCGGCCTGGTGGGAGAAGGTAGTGCCAACGTACACCAATGTGCAGTGGATCAAAGATTTCCGAATGTCCAAGGGCTCTTTTCAACTCCTCTGTATTCGCCTGGAAGCAACGTTGGGGAGACGCAACCTAAAAAAATCACCGCGGGGCAAGACACGCGCACAGCCCTGATGAGGCATCTGAACAGCATGGAAATTGTAAATTGACAATAAAGCTGATCTTTTGTACAGTGCATTTGGTTCTCTCTTTTATTTACCACAGTCAACAGACACAATTACAATAGTGCAGACACACCTTAGTGCAAAGATTAAATGTCAGTATCAAAACAGTACTCATACTGTATATTTGTATATTAATATGAGTATATTATTATGTTAAATGTGTGTTAAAGACAATGGGATGAGGTTGAAAGCTCTTTAAAAAGCTTTTGTATACCATCTTTACTGTGATAAATACATACATGTTAAGCATACACACCTGAAGAACTGCGTTACACACACACAGGTTAGTCTGTGTACTGCTGCACTGCTGCTGGTTTAAACAAAGACAGTCATGATGCTAGTGCCGTGCATGTAGGTTCTCTTTTATTTATCAGCAGCAGATCAATAAGTGTCAGTAGTATCAAAACAATATAATAACAGTGGCAATATATATATATATATATATATATATATATAATAACAATAGGTAGGCTCAGCAGCAGACACACCTTAGTGCAAAGTTAGGTGTCAGTATTAATAACAGTGGCATATATATATAATCACAATAATACAAAATTAACTGTCCCAGGTGTAGGCAATTTGGGGTGAAGTGTCTTGCCCAGGGACACAACGACATCCTGACTGCAGTAGGGTTTGAACCTGTGCTCCCCTGAACGCACCAGACCACTGCACCACACGCCTCCCAACAAGTCATTGTACAGTTTATCAACGACGACAAGTTTTTCTTAATTTTTGTATTGAAGGCCTGTTGGATTTAATCGCTTAGCACTGCCAGAAGCCCAGCCTGAAAGGTATTTTGTTGCTCCACCTCGATTCCTGGGCCTTGTGTGAATGCAGCAGCCGTTCGTCGTGCATCTCCTTGGCACGCAGGTCCTCATTCTCCTTGCTGACCATGGCCCGGCGGTCCATCGCCATGATGGTGTCAAGGAAGCTGTCATCGCGTGCCCACTTTCCTAAGGTGAAATATGCAAGATACAAGATCAGTTTAATCGCAACAACGAGACAACATTGTCCAACATTGGACATGGTGCAGGCAGGGACAGTGTACAAAATGCAGGTTTAAAGTAGAAGATAAGATAGGATCAAATAATATCAAATAAAAAATAAATATCAAAGTGCCCTTATTTATTGTTTTGTGCTTAATGTATGCTTGAACTTTGTTTTATAGGGATTAGTGGACATCAGTTAGATGTGTAACCTTCTTTCAAGGCCAGAGTAGTTACAGTGTAAGTGGATTGACATCTAACATAACATGGCTGAGTACAATTATAACAATCAATAAAAAAAAGGAAAAATAAATAGAATTTCAATTACATTTCTACTTAAATGTGCAAAACATATTAGAACATCAGTCTTTGTGGCATGCAGGTAATCAACTTTAAGCTTTTACCATTAACATGTAGAATGAATGTTGCAAATGACTTGAAATTATAGCAACTACAATGTATTGTTAGAGGTAGCATTATGTCCAGCTAGCATGCTAATTTCTAACGTTATATTATCGTTTTATCCCGGAGGGGAAAACTAGTTTCTAATCCTGAGAGAAACACCTCGCCTGAAACACACAATTAGTGCCATGAGTTAGTGAAGCAAATTACAGAACATTGCACACTTATTCACAAGTCAAAACGTGTTCATAGCGGGCACGGCTGAGAATAGCTAGCTAGCTAGATGTTGTTAGCCAGCTTGGACCTAACGTTAGCAAGTTCTAGCATGGCTAGCTCGATCTACTGAGCAAATAAAAGTACATCTAAGACCATTATTGTGCAGATTAAAACAGTGCAGTGCATGTATTTTATTTTACCTTCATAGTCGTCCCGACATGACTTTGCCAGGTCTGCTAACTTTGCTGAGCCACGGAAACTGCATTCAGTAGAAGCTTCTGAATGCGGCGCTTCGCGTCCTCCGAGTAAATCGCCAGAAGCGCCGACACATCCTCATCACTCCACCGCTCCGATGATTTATTTAGTGTTGCTATAATAACTGCTTTCACAAAAGTAATCTCTTCGGGTGCGCTGCCCGAAGCGAGCAAATACAATGGCCGCTTTAAAAAAAAAAATCAGAGTCAAACGGGCGTGGTTTGCATTCCGCACAGCCAATCAGACGTATGAACTATTTTCTCCCACAACAGTCCCTGCTCTCTAGCAGGGACTGAAAAGCGGGTCAGACAAACTAATTTGAACTACTTTAGTTCCTGGGGCTTTTTGGTGTGAACGCAAATATATCGTAGTTCTGATGAACTATTGTGGGAAAAGTATTCCAAAGTACTCCGGTGTGAACGCGCCTATTGTGGGAAAAGTACTTGGTGTGAACGCGCCTATTTTAGTAATGATGTCATGACCGCAGCAAATCTGGATCAGCTCCGTTGTGCCCCCGTTTTCAGAGATGTGGGTAAGGAGGAAAAGAGAGAGGGTTTTATTTTCTGACACGTTGTTAGTCTCCTTACACACCGGGGACACATTTATGTATAAAAGACATCAAAAAGTGTGTTTTTCCTATTTATATGGTATAGTTGCTTTAAAGAATGCCTCTCTTGGTACTTATATGCTGTTCAAAGTTAAAGGATAACACACTCACCATTTTCTTGGCTTTTTTCATCTTGTGTGCTCTTGCAGAACAGTGAAAGCAATACAATCCAAATGATCATCACAATCCAGTTTGTCAGTCCTCTTGGAAAATGTGCTTTCACTATAAAAAAAGATCTCAAAAACATCCACTTCACACAGCTAATACCTAAAGAAATAAATAAAAATGTCAGTGTCAAAAAAAGAAATCCTTTAAAAAAGCTTATTCCCAAGGCATTTTTATAAGGATGCATAAATCGTACTTACATGAAGAAGTCAGACTGATTGTTATGGATGGTACAAGTACGCATTCAGTCTAAAGGCTTGAGATGCTATGAATCCAACAGAAGAAAGTATCAAGTTACTCCCTGAAGAAACACTCCATTTACAAGCAGCCAATGACGCATTCTTTGGAAATCCATTTGCTGTTTTAGGTCATTAGGGTTGTGAGATCCTTGCACACTTTGATGCAGGAAATGGGAAGCTGCTTTCTGGTAATAGTGAGTCAGAGATTCCAGATCAGACATGTGCTCACAATGTTTTGATTCCTGGAAATGACTTGAAAAAACACGTTCAGCTAAGGATAGCAGACTGTTACTAAGCACTCTCTGATCAAGGGACGATGTGTAGTCGAATCACTCTCCAGAAAGAAGTCAGTGGAGGACCCATGATGTTTGCTCAATTTGCGAAGACCTAGAATTAGCTACAAAAGTCTCAACCAATGACCATTTGGAGAATGTACAGAACATTTGGAAATATTTATTAAAATAGCTCAGAAGCCCCCCCCCCCCCCCCTAGTGTGTGGTAGTCACATATGGTTAGTCAAATATTCACAATATTTGACACGCACATTGCTCATGGTACTGTTTTTCGTGTTTTCAGCAAACTTTTACAACTCCTCCTAGGGAGTACAAAAAATCCTATTCAGGATATATTAACTGCACATTAATTGTTATGCTAAATTACGACAATCAAACAGCGAGGTTGTTGGTTTAAGGAGAGAACAAACCATTTATGATGATTTACGTGTTTTAAACTCAGTGGCGGGCGCCGCCCCACCTCTTCCCACATTCTAGATTGTCATTAAAAAATACTTTAATTTTAAACTTTTTTTTAATGAACAAGGTACATATTATATAGTTGGTGTCAGTTAAAGGTGGGGTAGGTAAGTTTGAGAAACCGGCTCGAGATACACTTTTTGTTATATTCCATGGAATTCTCTTAACATCCCGATAGCAATGAATATATATATATATATATATATAATAGTGCTTTGACTAAAAAAATCCATAAAAAAATGTCATCTGTGGAAGCCGTAGTACTGTAAAAAGCATGACCAATCATTTTAGCCGGCCCGACTAAAATGATTGGTCATGCCGACCTGCCTGTCAGCCTTCCATCTGTGCACTAACTTATCTCGTGCCCTCATTGGTCATGTGCGCGTTCGTGTGTGTTGGAGGAGGGGCTCTGTAAGGAAGTGGCAGATTTTCTCTAATTCTAGCTCACTCGAGCTGGTTTCTCCAAAATGACCTACCCCACCTTTAAATGTATAATATATGATAACATATCGATAAAAATTGTTTTACGATGTCTAAAGTTACTGATCAGTCACGTGTTTCCTGCTTGGGGCGCAGAAATCTTTGCCCATTGACTCTCGTTATAATAATAATAATAATAATAGGTGCATGCGCACCTCTTTAATGCAAAAGATAGGCGCAGCTCTTCAATGCAACAGATAGGAGCAGCTCGGGGCCAAACTACGCCCAAAGCAGCTGTTGACATCGCCAACAACTAGGGGGCAGCAGGAGGCCAGAGTGAGTGATTGACGTGTGAATGAGAGAGAGTTAGACGGAGACGGAGTGTAAACAAAACTCGTGTCAGTATTAATAACAGTGGCATATATATATAATCATAATAATACAAAATTAACTGTCCCAGGTGTAGGCAATTTGGGGTGAAGTGTCTTGCCCAGGGACACAACGACATCCTGACTGCAGTGGGGTTTGAACCTGTGCTCCCCTGATCCGAACATCAACGCACCAGACCACTGCACCACACGCCTCCCAACAAGTCATTGTACAGTTTATCAACGACGACAAGTTTTTCTTAATTTTTGTATTGAAGGCCTGTTGGATTTAATCAGCTCGCTTAGCACTGCTAGAAGCCCAGCCTGAAAGGTATTTTGTTGCTCCACCTGGTCGTCCGATTCCTGGGCCGAACTAGATAGCGAATATGGAGAAGGAAAATTATGTTTAATCACTTAAATAAACACCCTTTGAGGACACTGGTGGGAAAGCTGAAAGTAAAAGAGCTCAGACCTGATCAGCCTGACATAGGCAGGAGTTAAGGACAGAGGAAGGCAGTATACATGCTCTTTTTCAAGGAGCTGGTTTAGCAAGAAGGCTAACTACCTGTAGCAACACCAGTGCTATATTTAGCTTCCCCTGCCTCCCTTTTCAAACGTCAGGATCAGCCCAGTCTATGGACCAGACCCAGCATGGATCTAGACAGATGTGAGTGACTTAAAGCACATATCAGAAAAAACTAAAAAGCATGAACAAACTAGAGTCCACATAGATGGTGCTATGCGACTAGCCATGTTTAGGAAAGTAAACACAGCTGTCCAATGAAGGCTACAGGATAGGGATCTGTAAGCATAATAAGGAGGTTGACAAAAACAGGCACTAAAATAATAGACTGTATCAAGTGCCGTGTGCCCTGCGTTGTAATATAATGTTTTGAGTTTGAAGTCTGCCATTTTAAATAATGTGCATTTTTATTTTATGAATTCAGAAACTTTTACAATGTTTTGTTTTAAATGTTATTCATCGAACACAACGGCGGAGCTGCAAACATTATTGAAGTAACAACTACTACTGTTAGTCCAGGAAACATACTGTGTGAACCAAGGCCTAAACAAAGACCAAAGGTTACCCAGTTACTTTTGCTTTCTCAATGAAGTTGCGTTTTATCATCAAATGTAAAAGAGAATGTTGTTTTGGAAATACACTATCAACCTGGAAGAGAAGAGTTAAGAGTAGCGTTTCAACAGTGGACTACTTTATTCCATCAGATGAACATTACCACATGCTAGCTTAAGAAAAAAAACACTACTAGGGTACAGTGAGCTTGGTTTTATATTGTTATTTTCAGAGCACTAACTTGTTTGTCTTGTTTATTTTCTCTTAAACTGAGTTAGTTGAAGGGGTGGGAAGGACAAAGGGTTTCACTGGGGTATCATAAGGGAAAATTCATTAATGATTTGTCTGTTGTTAAACATAGCAAAAGACAATTATTCATTTAATATAGAGTAATTAAAATGTTTTCATTCCTAATGATAACTATTACATTTTTGCAAGCATTTGTTAATTAATAACTTTAATGCAAAACCACAATGTAATTGTCACTGAACAGTCTGGTTGGTCAAACACATTCATGTGTTTTTGTGTTCCCATAACAACATGTCCAACATGTCCATGTGTCAGGCTAACACATGTGAAAGAACAAGCTACATTTCAGAAGCTTGCTTTTTGTTGCTAAAGGTAATATTCAAGCCATTTAAGAATTATAATGCTTACACAACATGTCATTTATTACATATAACCTGTTGTGAAAACATTTCTTGATTACATTGATATGAAACAAATAAGATAAATATCGAGAGCAGGTACTTCCGTGGGAGAAAAAGGTTCCTGTCTGATGAAACCACGCCCCGTAAAACTCCCAAAACGTTTTGTGAAGCCGCCATTTTATTATCCTCGCATTAGCATTATTAGCATTAGCCCAGCGCAGAAACGCAGAGAGACTAACTTATGGCAACACAAAAGAAAACATGGGAGCGGTGGAGATGAGGAGGTGTCGGCGTTCTGGCGATTTACTCGGAAGGCTTCAGTAGAAGCTGCTGGGAGTCCAAGCAGCTTCTACTGAAGCCAGTCCCCAACTCCAGGGACTTCCGGCCGGGGACTTCGGGTGGCAGTATACGCCGTGAAGTTGTTTGCGGCCTGCCAGTAAACCCAAAGCAGAAGAAGAAGAAGTGACGTCAGCGGCTTCGTTTGCCTAATCCTCCCTCAGGGACTTATTCCGGTGTGAACGCGATCTGTACTTAGTTCTTGAGAACTAAAGAGTTCTCATGAACTAAGTTCTCATGAACCTTTGTGGGACAAGTACTGCGGTGTGAAAGCGCCTAGTGTCACATCGGTACATTAACCGTAACATTTCTCAGAAAATCTGGAGGGATTTATGTCACAATTAGAAATATGATTATGATATGCTCAGTTAATTTAGCTGATTCAATGATATTTAGTTAATATATTCTATACTTTTCAGTTCAGAGAATATTGAAACAAATTTAAACCAAAAAATCATCCTCATTAATTAAGTTATTAATAAGTATTACTTTACCATTAACGCCCTGTCAGGACCTCGACCCAAACTGATGAACCCAAATGCACGACCCAGAGAAAAAGTCTTGAATATAAAAAAATGTATATTTATTTTCTCCCAGTTCAGGTAATTCCTCTTAACCTGTTAAGCACCAAGCCTGTTTTTCATGTTTCAGGCTCGAAAATGACATGCCCAAAACAAATGACTACAACTTAATTTCTAAAAGGGTTATATGAATAATTTATTTTATCAAAGCAAGGTTACATCTGTGAGTTGGATGTAGAAGTGTCAGAATCAATATAGATGTTTTTTATTTTAAAGAAAATTCTGATTTTACATAGTAAAAAACTGTAAATTATAGTGTCCGTCCAAAAATTATTTTTTACAGATAGTGAAAACTACCCTTGGATGATGGGTTATGTTGGAGCAGAACACCTCTGCTACGCGCCGTTCGTTGGATGAGGCTGGATCTCTATTAAATTAAGAAAGGAATTGAAAATACCGGAATCAAAGTTATAACAAATTATCTGAGTTTACTTCTGGTAGGAAACCAAACACATATACAAGTTATACAGAGTACTCGAGTGCTCCGGACTTCAGGTTTGTGATGCGATGCAGATAAATGTGACGGGATCAAACCAACTCAAACGAGATGAAAGTGACTTCAGGTTTGTGATGCCAACCAACTCACCAAACCAAAAAGCATTTTTACACTCAAAAACATCAGTATTCATACTTATATTTTGGGGCGGAGATGTGTTGACTTGTTCCCTCCCCCTTTTATTCGACAGCGAATTAGAGAGCCCCTGGGGAGGAGCTGTGTAAACTGCTCACCTCCCCCAAGTGTCCTGACTGGCTGGATTCACATCTGGTCGAGTTCAATAGTTCTTCACCAGAATTTGAAATTCCAAAGTTCTCTAAGGTCAAAAGTCAACCTCTATCTCCGATTCGAATCTTAACTCTATTCCTTTCCCATGAGTTCTTCACATAAACCATCCCTTTTCAGACATTTAAACTTTTCTTCACCTATTTAACGATGTCTTTAACGACTTAAAAACAACATCTGGCTTTTAGGGGTGATAAGGAGCG